ATACCCTAAGCAAAGATATTTTGCGATGCCATCAGGAAAATAAATAGCAAATATTATGAATATATAAAATAATATAGCTGCATAGAACTTACATGCCCAAATCTTGAAAAATACATGCAAAATACATTCAAGGAACTTAAAAACTAGCATAAAACTTTCCATTTTCAATCGGTTCAAAGAAACTTATTCAATAATAGAACTACTAATGATCATGTTCAACATTACAAAATATAAACATTGCAGATTATCAAATTTAATTTGATATTAAAACAATAACAAAAGTATTTTTATTCAATTCTAAATGACAGAGCTATATAGTAGTTTTTATAAAATTTAAGTTTAGCTTTAAGGTGCATCAGGAAACTGGTCCAAAGCTGTATGATAAAATGTGTCCGCCATGTTTTCTGTTTCATTTGTATTTGAGTATAACTAAGCCAAGCATCTCGACCTCGCCAGCCTCCAGCTACAGCAACAGCTCTAGTTATGGCTGTAGCTATGGCTACAGCACATAGTGTCATTTACACACACAAACACACACACACATACATACAAGCACATGTGTAAATGCGCGGCCTGACACCTGACAGCCACTCAACAGCGAGTGGTTGTCGGATTTAAAAATAAAATAAGAACTGAATAATAATAAAATGCGACAGCAACAACAGACGGACAGAGACTGAGGCATAGTGAGAGAGAAAGATAGATAGAAGATAGAGCATACAAGCAAACATAAATGAAAGGATAACAACAAAAAATAAATAAAGAGTAACAGCGGCGTGTTGACATACAGCGGCGCCGGCAGAGAGGACGAGCGGCTGAATGACAAGACACTTTTGGCTGTGTCAGTTATGTGACAGGCACAGAGAGAGAGAGAGAGAGAGAGAGAGAGAGAGAGAAACTGAGACTGAGGCACTCGAGGCACGAGGCTGAAAGCACGTTGGCGACTTATTTTTGGTGTGCCTGGCATCGCAGAACTTAAAAGAGATTTCAAGGTGAGGCGCACTTTGTATGCATGTCAACAGAAAAGTCAAAGTTCAAAAGTTTGGACAACAATAAACAGGGGACTTGGGATTGAGATCGGCAGCCAGCAGCTGTAGCTGCTGTATCAACGACCCGTTCACAGCACAAATATGCAAAGTCAAGTGGCAATTTATCATGCAATGCAACAGCAACAATAACAACAACAACTACTAACACTACAACGGTAGCGGCAACAGCAGGAGGGACTGCCATGTGGGGTTAAGTGGTGCCTAGTGCGAGTGCCAGTGCGAGTACAACTAAATTAAATGGACTAACGGACAGCGGGAGAGCAAACCGGCTAACCGGCAAGCCAACCCAGTGCGTAGGCATGAATGAATCCACACCTACGCCTGGGTAGCACACAATTGCGATTCGCTTTTGTAATTAATACCCTAGATTCTTTAAGTGATGGGGTATGCAGCAAAATGAGACCTTATACAAAGCTCTAAATCCATATTGTTTAACATGCGCAGATTTAGTTGTATTTCCCAAGAGCATATGTAAAATAACAGACATTGCCTTTGCAGGGTATTTATATTAATATAAAGTCAACAAAATGTGTGAAGCGTTAGAACTAGAACGAATAGTTGAGCTTTATATTAAAAGAAACGTGTACATATTTTAAAGCCCAACGTTCAGCAGAGACTAAATTAGAGACTAACTTTATTCGCATTGAGCAAGGTCATATCAGAATGGTATAGTATAGTATAGGGTATCTGTGCAACACACCTATGGAAATTATACGCATGAGAAATTGTTAGGAAATAAATGAAAAAAAATTATAAGATGGAAGCACTTCCGACTACAAAAGGCATGTCTAGACATGTCCATCAAAGTATAAAGCCTAGACTTCAAGAATAGAAACTTTAAATACATACACAAAGCAAGTAAAAAACTGTCTCCAATTTTGTTTATTTTATTTAAGCCAAAAGGTAATTTAAAAATCCTTACAACTGCTCAATAAGAAATACAGAGTATCCGAAGTTCAATCACATCCGCCTAGAGCACACTTCGTTACAGTTTTTTTTTTTTTTTTTTTTTTGGTTTTATTACGTTAGAGCCCTCGCGCTAGTTGAATCGATGCGACGCTGACCTTTCCCTCAATTAAAGGCAAACACACAAATACAGCGCACAGTGCTGTGCAACAGTAATGCGACCAGCTGCTGCTGCTGCTACTGCTGTTCAACGGACTGTGCTGTGCTGTGCTGTCGACGCTTTGGCTCATTAGACAGCACTACCAGCAGCCGTCGCTTTCATAATTTATTGGTACCTACGGCTGAATCTAATTTCTGGGATTTGCAACAGAGCAAATATGTTAAATACGAGCTGGACAGCAATTGGAAGCGGGAAGCTGGAAGCTGGAATCTGGAATGGAAGGGAGACGTCTCACTCGCTACGCAGTTGTTGCTGGGCGAGATAATGGACAAAACCAGCGCTAAGTGCGGCCACAAAAGCCAAGCAATTAACAAGGCGTTTGGTTTAGGAGCTTTGCCATTGGAGCTTGGCCACTCGACAATCCTGGCCAACGAGAACAACCGCAGGCAAATGGCCAAAGGACGTTCGAGCGGGGTTGCGAAGGCTAACCGGAAGTGCACGCAACTCCAGCTGAAGCTGTTGTTGACAAGGCTCTAAAGCATTGGGCTGCAACCAAAGACGGCTCGCAGTCAGAAAGTCAGCTAGGGACGGCAACTGGGCCAGAGCGACAGGGAGAAGGAGAGGGAGAGGGAGTGGAAGCGTGGGCCGCGCGGGTGGCAGCGGGACTTGGGTGTAATATGCGTAATTAAACAAAACCGCAAGTGGGGCAGTTGCACAACAAGCGGCAAGCAACGCGCAGCAGAACTGGAAAAAAAAAAAAAAAAAAAAAAAAACAAAAAACTATGTATATATAAAGGATACCACAAACGACACAACAAACACGAAACTACAAGAAGCGCAGCGGAATAATTTGTGGAGCCCTACTAAGGCGCTCTGCTTATGCTCTTCATTTAGAGTATATGTACCATATATAGTAGGGCTTACTATATACAGATGTTACAAATAAATATATAAACTTTGTACTTATCTCCTTCAAAATATTGGTTCAATTCAGTCTATATACATCTAATTATTTCAAAAATTAATTGAATTAATTAAAATTAATTGAATTCAATTGAATTACTCCGAAAATTTGCATGCTTTGAATTACGTTCATCTATACAAAAAAATATTAAAAACTTTGAAATGTTAAAGAAATGCAAAGAATATTTATATGATGTGTAAACACAAAAAAAAACACACACACACACACACACATAAACTCTGACTTAATCAAAAATTTTATAAGTATTTTTTTCGCATTTTTTTTATTCTGCAGAAATAACAAGTAATTGAATGAAATTATTTCTGCATGAGCGAATTCTTAATCTGAATTGCATTGAGGAGCTACAGGGCTGCCAGATAGTTGAACAAAATTAAAACCAGTTTCATTTTTATTTTCAATCTCAAATAATTTAATTAAAAACCAAAAAGAAAAGCATGTAAAAAAATATATATATATAATTTGATTTAAAATGACAACTTTAATTTAAATACTAATTAAATAAAAATACATTAAAAAATGTTTACTAAATTGAAATTCTATAAAATTGTTAATGGAAATCAAAATTTCAGTATAAATTTTGTCCAGCATTTTAATATATACATATATGAAAACATAAACACATTATTTATTTATGAATCTTCATAAGCATTATTAAATTTTATTTAAAATTAATTAATTTTTTAAAGAAGAGTTTAATATTCTTCAATAGTCGAATAGCGCATAAAATTGTTTTTTATGTTAAAATAGCCAATAAAAATTGGCTTAAATTATAATATGCAGTAGTCGCTAGTAGGGAAACCCCACACATCAATCAATTGCCCCGGAGAACAGTTAAACTGTAATTAACATAGCTTCTCAGCTTACAAAGCGCCTGACAAAGTGTTAATGCCCAGCGAGTGAGCTGAGCCGTTTAAATTAAATATTTGCCGGGCAGCAATGCTTGGCGTGAGCCGGAGAGTGTCAGGAAGTAAAGCAAAGAGTTGAAATGCAGCAGCGCCACATTAATCTGGAGCATGCAGATTGAAGTGTCGCCCTGCTCTGCGAATCTGTCTGTGATGACAAGTTGAGCCGAGTCCGAAACGAAACGCCTTAATCCCTGTCAGACTTAAATGCAGCATATTCTGGAGGCAGAATGCCGTGCACTTAAACCTCAACTCGACTCGAATGAGCTTGGTTGCGTCACCGTTCATTGATTTTACCTGTAAACGGAATATGCAACAATGTGAAATCGATTTTGCATTAGCCACGAGACACTTGAGCCAGAAACACCAAAGCCCCAAGCAAAATATATTGATGAACCAACAACAACGCAACAGTGGCTAAGGCAGAAGACGAACGTGCCAATAAAATGCAAAAAATGGCGGAAAAAATATGCAAACTATAAAGAGAAATTCTTGAGACAAAAATGAAACATGTACTCTGAAAGAGAACCCAAACCCCTCAAGCCAGACCGGGACTCACAGAGCCAGTTAACCCAGTTAGCCGGGATTTGAAATTCAAAATAGTCTAAGAGATAATTATCAAGTCAAGAGCAATGTTTATGCACATAAAAATGAGAATATATATAAAAAAAAAAAAGAAATTTATATATTATAGAGAAAAAAATGTATAAAACTTAGCTAAGAGCATATTAAAGTAGCGTCATGACTAAATTAGTAGCAGTTGGCATGCGACTGTGTTTAAGATTTATATACATATCGAATAACCACTGTAAGAACTCACTCAACTGTCAAACTAACAACAAAGTGAACTTAATATAACAAAGACTTTTGCAAACAAGTCCAAAGCTGCCTCTTTCTTATACCCAGCAAGTTCATAGCATAACTATAATTAGATAAATATACAAAACGCTGACCAAACTCATCTAGTGGCTACTGTATTAACCAAATAACTCACTCACCTGTTAAAGCAGCCAAATTTAGCATAAATCCAATCAGACGCATCGCGAATGCTGCTTGCTCCTTGTTCGATATTGTAAATATGAATTGTTATTTTAGCGGAATTTATTGAGCTGCTATTGCAAGTGGCAAAAATTGTTGCATTTATTGCACTTGTTATCAGCAATTTTTGTGCCCAAGCTCCGCCAGGCACTTCAATTGCTAGGCATTAGTTTTGAAGTTGTTGCTGTTGCTGTTGTTGCTAATTGTGAACACACCGATCCGACACGAGAGCCAACGAAGAGAGTGTGCGAACAAGACAGAGATAAAGAGACAGAGAGCGAGTGGGAGTGAGCGACAGAGGGCCGAGAGCCGGAGTCTGAGCTTGAAGCTTACACGAAGTGTAAGCCAACCAACGCGCACGAATTTCACTTTATCACTGAATATAATTTTTTTTTCCAATTTCTTCGCTCGCAAATTGAGCGTTACACGAACGTAGCGTTAGCAACAATGCGCATGTCCCGTGCAACATTTGGCCGATGCTAAATGTTGCCAGCAACATGCACGAAGTGTCTATAAATAAATTTTGAAAATCACATACTAAAAACAAAGGAGTTTTCTCCAAAAATGTATATCAAATCATTATTTATTTCAATTTTCATATAGATATTTTTCCAAATAGGCGCATTGGAAATAAATTATTTTAGAAACGCCAAAAAATGAAACTAATTTGCGGCTTACAAGATCCCGCCTATTCTTTGAATTTGTATCAACATGTTGCTAATGAAGGGGTAAAACATAACGAGTGTTGCAGGAGCTTAGTCGAAAAGTGGGGACACTGTCGAAAGCTCATGCAGCTTTTTAATATCTACAGTTGGGGTAGGACCTTGGGGTTAAACATGTATAACATATAACATATAGCAGATGCCGTATAACGTATAACATACTACGTATAGCGCATAAATGCTGTTATGGCTAAAAATTGCGCAATTCACCACACATACTATAAAGAAAACCCAAGTTAACTGACCAAACTTGGCATTTTATGACACTCAAATTGCTATAATTGTTATAGCAAGTACATTTATATTATAAATATATTAGATGAGACGCAAACCATGCTATAATAACATAGAACAACAATTAAGCGCTTAACGGTTATCAATGTTAGATAATTAAATTACAGATTTAACCAAACAAAGCCCAACGTTTGTTTCCCAGGAGTACATCAGCAAATGCTTTATCAAAGAATTTGTTTATTTATTAAAAATTTATTTATTTAAAAACATAAATATTATAACGATGTACTATGTATTAAAATACTTATATTTCGTAAATATCAAATTCCGCACATCGATATTATCGCGCTGCCACTATCGATCAGAAATAAAAGCTCAGCAAATGCAGTGATGATGACAGCACTACGAAAATTGGCAATATCTTCTTATCAGTTAGCTTACAGCGTAGTCCGATGGTAATCACATAGCTTAGTTTGGTGTTGATAGAGCAATCAAATAAAATATGTGTGATCAGAATAAATCAAATTCAGGAGCTAAAGAGGAACAAATAACTTCCGACACTTCAAATGCATCTAATGAATTCCTCGATGGAGCCTGCTTGTCTGTGAAGCCCACGAAACATCATTCTACGAGCAGCAACGTTGCCGTTATGGTTACTCATCGATATGCATTCGAATATAAAATGTCTCATCCGCATCGCGGACTGGCAATGATCTTCAGCCATGAGCACTTCAATAAGAAAGGTCTGCCATCACGACCCGAAACAGTTATCGACAGCGAAAATTTAAGTCGTGTGCTCAAAAAATTGGGTTTCGATGTACGGATTTACAAAGACCTGTGTCACGAGACACTAAGGGAAACACTAAATAACGCTGTTGGCATGGATCATTCGAATAACGATTGCATTCTCATCGCTCTGCTGACGCATGGCAAAAACAATAAGGTCTATGCTCATGATCATTCCTATGAGTTGGAAAGAATTTGGGAATCCTTCACAGCTGACAAGTGCCCCACACTAGCGGGCAAACCGAAGATAATTATTGTCCAGGCCTGTCGAGGCAATCTCAGAGATCCAGGCTATTTCGTTCATTCCAAGGGACATACGGAAACGGACGGTGATTCGGAGTGCAGCTATAGGATACCAAGATTCGCCGATTTTTTAGTTGCTTTTTGCACAGTTCCCAACTACAGATCGTGGAGCAATACCTTAAAGGGCAGCTGGTTTATATACAATCTATGCGAGGAGCTGGAAGCCAATGCCCACTCAATGAATATGCTCAGTCTACTCACCTTTGTCTCCCAGCGCGTGGCCAATTGTGAGAGTGACGAAACACAAGAAAAGCAAATAAGCTGCTGCATGTCCACGCTGACACGAGTTTTGAATTTCTAAAAAAAAATTTAAAAAAAATAAAATAAAAAAATAAAAAAATATATAAATAAAAATAAAAACAAATACATATATATGTATGTATATTCCCAAATACCCCTATAAACAATCACATATAAAACTTTATATATATATGCGATTTTTACATTAAAAACATTAGAAAAACTTTTATTATGCAAAAAAATTCACAATATTTAAACAAAAAGTACCAAGCATATATTTGTAATTATGATTATCTTTGATTTTGTATTTATTATTATTACGAGTAGAATAATAAAATAATGTATTCCTAACTGAAGAAAAAAGTTGAAAAAAATTAAAAAATACAGCCCAGTATATATTAGAACATAATATTACCTGACTATTCATTTCAATAAATAAAATATGTATATATATATTTGAAAAAGAAATAATAATAAGACAATATAAATTAAATACTGATAAAATTAAATCAACGTTTTTCAAATATATTCCTTTTTTTCTGTTTGAAGTTTGAATTTTATTTTTAGACTGATATTTTAAATCAACCATATCGATGCCGTAATCGATATATTTATCAATTCAATATGCACATCTTTAGCTAATCGCATATTATTAAATCTTTACACACCCACGTCGGCATCCAACAAGTAGATTTTCGAAGTGTATAATTTGTAAACAATGTATTTTCATAAAATTATTGGTGTCATATACCTGGGGATTATAACTGTATACGGTGCTGGCATAGAGCGCGTTGATGACACCGATTTGATACACATTCTAACCGGCGAGGGCGATGTCGTTGCATTGTTTACGCGCGGCAGCTGCGCGGAGTGCGACAAATATGAAACCGTTGTTGACAATATTCAGGAAGAAGTTAAGCAATCGCTGGGAGCATCTGTTGTGCAGGCACACGATAGCAATTTAATACATATCTACGATCCTAGCAGGGAGCCGGCATTGCTATATTTCCGTCGCGGAATACCGATACTCTATAATGGAGCGATTGACGGAGAAGAAATTATACAATTTTTCAATGATAACCGCGAGCCAGCGGTGAAAGAACTTTCTGATGACAACTTCGAGCATTTGACGCAAGCCTCAACTGGAGCCACTACGGGAGACTGGTTTGTTTTTTTCTACTCCGCGGAATGTGTGCTCTGCCAGCGTCTATATGCCGTTTGGGAGTCCGTTGGTGGCTCACTAAAACGCAAGATAAACGTGGCACGAATGAATTCGTTGGCCACTGGCTCATCCACTGCGAATCGTCTAAAGGTGACGACAACTCCTGAATTCGTTTTCTTGCGCCAAGGCAAAATCTATCGGTACACTTCAAAGGAATATACTCCAAAAGCTTTCATCGAGTTTGCCGAGGGTGGATATAGAAAAATTAATCATCCAGAGATTGTTCCCAAGCCATCCAGTTTTATGGATGAACTGTCTTTTGGACAAGTTATGGATTATATCAATAGCCAGGGTACGCTTCCGTTGGCATTTATTGGGACGCTCAGCGTCTTATTTCTTCTATTTATTGTTAAACGTCTGTTTAAAACGTCGTCAAAGAAATCCATGAATAAAAAAGACAAATAATTTGGGAAGCGGGTAAAAATAAGTGTGTAGCTCAGCTCATAGTTGGCATATGCCATTCCTTGTACATCAACTTTTGTACTTAAAATAATATACATATTTAATAAAAACAAATTTATTGTAAAGTAAATTATTCAACCCCGATTGTTTGCTATCGATATATATCGCTGGCTCTTGCTAATCAGGTATTTTGACGTTTGCATTGCATCGGTCACACTGTTGATAAAATAATATTTGCAAAGAAAGTTTACTATGGTCGGATCAAATTTTGGCATTATCTACCATCCGAGTGCTGGCGGCGGCTCATCTGGCCAAGCCAACACTGGCAGCGGCACAGCTTCTGGAGCCAGCGGTGGCAATAGTTTCAATTCGATTTCCGGCGGCGATCGTTCTGCACCAGCATCGCATCTCAGCGATTTTATGTTGCAACTAGAGGACTACACACCTCTGCTTCCTGATGCTGGTAGCTATTCTTTAATACACATTTGATACAGATATTTTACCTCAACAATGTTTGACTTTCAGTCACTTCGCATTATCTGAATATGGGCGGCTTTCATGCGGATGACAAGCGCATTGTTCGACTAATTTCCATAGCAACTCAGAAATACATGTCGGACATCATTGACGATGCACTGCAGCATTCGAAGGCGCGCACACACATGCAAAACTCAAATACACCCGGTGGCTCAAAGGTAAGTTGCTGTTGTTCATATATACATACAATAAATGTCTTTATTTTGATATAACTTCATTATAGGCTAAGGATCGCAAATTTACCTTAACCATGGAAGATTTGCAGCCAGCACTAGCTGACTACGGCATTAATGTGCGAAAAATGGACTATAGCCAGTAGGCAATCCGGCAATTTACATATTAAGTTATTTTATTTAAGTTACATTCATAAAAAATTTCTCAAATGAAAAGAAAGCCCCAAGATTGCGCTCTTGTGATCGGGCTCCAAATAAATGTTGACAACAATTCACTTTGATGTCACAGAACTTAAATTAAAGTTAGGATAATATCTTTACAGGTTTTAAATCACTAGATTCATAATACATTCTAGCTAATCGACTATTTATCGACACATTAGAAATCTTTTAAAGCTATTGCTGGTACCTCCTGCCACTTTGAAGGCTAAAACACCAGTGAGAATCGTTACAACATAGTTGGGTACGAGACTGGCCCAGTACAAGCCATCCGCATTGAGTAGCGTCAACAGGGAGACGAAGAGATGTGAGCCAACTACGTAGAAAATATGTAGATAGTTATTTGTATCAAAAGCGTTGAAGAAGATAACGCTCCAGAATGTGTGCAACAGGACAATTGAAAGCACTTGGACAGCCGACGTGACGAAAAACATTTCAGAGCCGCCCTTGAGGCCCATTGTGCCAGGTCCAGTCTTCAAATATATAATGAGCACTGATTAGAATATTTACTTGTTATAGCTAATGAGTCACGCACCATATCCGCCAACACATTAACCAGCGCAAACAAACCCGATATGATTCCGAATCCAAGCCCTGAAACGTAGGCTAAAATATGTTTGTTTTCCGTCATCCGTGTGTCCTCAGCCACGGCGTGCAATGCGTGCTCTGTGCTGCGCAGAATACGATAGATGATGTAGCGAAAGCATTCCTGAAAGAGCACCGAGAACACCACACCAAAGGCCAGTACATCGCGCAGGGGAACAATCGCAAACCACAGCATCGACGACAACAGCAACGAAAGCAGCCAAAAGAAGGCGGCCGCTATGAGTATTATGATGCGCATGGAGTCATTGGCAATGGTGAACACAAACAGTGCAAACGGTGTGCCAAATGCAATTAGTGTACAACCAAAAAATTCTGGTAGCGTCATATTTATTGTCACAAAAAAGAAAAACCGCCCACTCTGACAGCTTTTTTTTACATTGCGGTGACAAGCCGATGACAATTACCAAGTCTGTGGTCGTGTATCTTATCGATAGCGATAACAGTGTTTGCAAGCATTCTCTCCAAATGCAGCATTTTGAATTTACAAGCGGCTGGGTGAATAGCAATATGTAATTATTATTTCTTAAAAATAATTATTACTTGCGGGCTTAAAATATATAAAATCTTCACATTAGATAGGCATATATTAAATAATTAAGTTATGTCAGCAAAAGGTATTCAATATTCCTAAGAATCCGTTTAATTATCGAGTGTAGATAATTTTAAATAAGCTGTTCGTGCGTGAGCTACGTCGTGTAAACATATCGGCAACGATAAACTAATGTTTACATACGCTTTCGAAACTGCAGTTGGTTTTCATAATTGTGCCTGCACTAAAAGGGTTAAAAATTATTGAATTATTTTAAACCAATTAATATAATTTCATAGTTGTGATTTGTCCTTAAACGAATATCATGAAACCGTATATATTGTATAACTAATACACAACAATGCGGGTGCTCTACATATGCACTTTCAAACCCGAACCCCAAGAGAGCATTTGATAGTCGTTGTAGTGTGCTGTCGTGATTAAGACAAAGGCGCCCCACTTTCTCGCGCACTGGGCTCGTCAATGTTTTGGTTCGGGTCTTTGGGGATTAGTCACTTGAAGATTCGCAAGCGTAATACAAACGCCACAGAAATAATTAAATTGATATTAGCGGAAAATTCATATTGCACCACTGTTAAGTAATTTATTTTTGTGGCTGGATTTACAAGTGACCAGACAATTGCATAAACAAGTGCACCAAAGCGATAGTTAACTGTAATTGCATTCGACTACTTTCAACTTTCTAGTGCATGCTGTGATGGCGAAACGTCTACTGCCACACCAGCCGTCTGAGGATGGTCCGCATCCGGACGACGAGCCTGATAGTCCGGCCATTGAGGCGGCCGCCTTGGACATACCTTCACAGGGTGTTGACCCGACGGGTCAGAAAGGTGAGCTAATTGGAATCCAAAGTGCAGTTTTTTATATTATATATACATACATATATATATATGTATATTTAAGCGTTCTGGGAGAGCTACAATTCAGCTAAAAAGTTTCGTCCCACTGCTGACGGCAGCTCGGAATTACGCTTTGAGATTCTGCTAGCCCACATAATGCCACGTGAGAACGAGGATGTGAAAATCAAACGCTTCGTCATTTACGAGCTAACTGTGCGCCAGGACTCCAGCACCATGGATGAGCAGCCGGCCAAGATTGAGCGCCGTTATACAGACTTCCGGGATCTTTATCAGTGCCTTAAGCGGGAGCTACCCAACGAGCTGGCCAGCGTTAACTTTCCCAGCAAGGTGCTCATGGGCAACTTCTCAGCGGAGCTGATTGCCGAGCGCAGCGCTGCCTTCGAAACATTTCTTACGCATATCGCCAGGAATACAAAACTGCGGGATTCGGAGGCATTTTTACGTTTTTTGCAGCACGACGAACTGACCCGTGCGTGCCAGTATCTGGATGAGCGGCGAAACGAGATGGCCATACCGATACTCGAGAACTGTTTTCGCCTGTTGAACAAGATCTTCATGAATCGATCGCGTCCCGTACTGCTGATACTCTGTCGCCTGGTGGCTGCCTGCACCGCCTCACCGGTGCCCCATCACTCAGCGGAACGTTGGGCTCTGCTCGCACTCAGCCGCTTCGATACGCTATGTGATATTGACTTACTGCCGCTCTACATACCCCTGCTGCACACCTGTGCACACTTGTGGTAGGCACTATAAGCTCTAACAGTTCGTAGTTTAGTTGTATTTGTTGATTGCTTGCTTTCAGGTGGCAACGGGGTCAGGATCAGAAGCCCATAACGGATCGCTTGACGGAGATGTCCAGGCAGGGCATTAATACGGCTAATATTACCAGCCTAATGCAGGCAATTCACAAGCTGGATCCCCGCACTGAAACCATCTGAATGCACAATGTACACAATGCTCATACACACACACACACACATACACTTAATATATATACTCCCTCGAGCCGTAGTGCTAAGCTAAAAGTGCAATTAGTAACAATTATCGTGCAATTAGTATTAGAAACGTGTCATATTTATATTTACATAGTACTGCGTCTCACGGCCCTTCCACATCTGTCAACTTTTTGTTTTGTGTTTCATGTATGTCTAATATCTTATATGTCTCATATTATATGTCTAGTAAGTTATTTTGTGTAGCTCCGCCATTTAACGTGATTATAACTGTATCGAATGCTAATGGTAAACCTTCTGAACACAAATGAAATTGTCTAAGAATTAACATTCCTATAATATCAAACAATCTATTATCGAACTATGGACAATTATATTAAGAACAACATTATCAAATATATAATAGGAACGATAGTCTGAATCATTTTGTTGTGCATTTCTTGTATGGGTAGGCATACATACGAGGAAATGAGAATTACGTCAATTGTTAGCTGTGCTGCATGAATATTTTAAATATCTATCTAGAAATATCTAAAAATGAAATTAAATGAAAAGCACGTATCACTTTTCTTAAGTGAGCTCATCGTCTGCGCTGGACTAGAATATCGGAATCTCTAATCTTCAGAGATCAGAACGGATGACTGTCCGACTGTAGTGTATATCTGCAGATCAAGGGTAATGACTTTAATCCAATTTGAAAGCCTGGGTTTAACTTGGCAATCAAAAATATATTCTCATTTATACTCTGCGGTTTGAGTACTGAATCTTCAGAGGTCAGACCGGATGCGATTATTCAATTCGCGATTACTATATGTACAATTGTATAATTGGGTTGCTTAACAGCATGAATAATATCGTATAATTCTCGATTACTATATGTGCAATTGTATAATTGGGTTGCTTAACAGCATGAATAATATCGTATAAAATCCAGTTTAAATTTAAAGTTAAATTCTTTACAAAGAAAACAAAAAACTAAATCAGTTGCAATTAGTGGTCATTAACCAATTATGAGAATTAGCTTAACTTTCTGTTCAACTAATTTGGTTAGCTCCAAGCACTCAAATTAAAAATTGACTTAAATGAGCTGCTTTAAACATTTTCAAAAACTAGCTTGGCAGCTAAATCTAATCCAATTCGATTAAGCTTAGTTAATCCCATAAATAATATAAATAAACTCCAGTTTAATTTGCATTTCAAGTCTTTTCAGCATTGAAACATCATGAGCTGCACTTAATGGTCATTAAACATTTCTAAGAATATATTTTAAGTCAATTGTTAAATTAAAATCTAAGGTGCACTTAAATAAATCAACTTATTATACGTTTTGTGAGGCTCGCTCGCCAACGCTAGCCAACTATAGTTGCATGTCTAAAACGATCGCATGCATCCATCCAATAAGCTGGCAAGTCTTGGGGGTGCTCAGCGGCTACTCAACATTGCGTATACATAATTTAAAATGTACAATTTCTCGGAGACAACTTGCAAATCGCACCAATGTCATGATGGTTGTGGATGTGGTGGTGGTGCAGTGGTACAGCGGTGCAGCTTCTTATTGCTTCAACGGTAGAGTCGCGTAAATGTTTTCAGTGCCTGTGCAACGGCCTTTGTGGTGTCAGCCCTAAGAGAGGGGGGAAAATCAAATAGTTTAGCAAACAATGGAACAGACTCCAACGCCAAACACACGGATACTCACCTCAGCACCGTATTACTGAACTCATCCAATTGCTGTTGTGTGGCAGTCACGTAGCCGCCGCTATTCTTTTTGGGCAACGAGTCGAGCGCATGGGCAAGGAACGGCTGCATCTGTGCCTGCGTAACCACATGTTTCAGCTCGTTCAGCACCTCGGCGACGTCGGCGAGCATGTAGGAGTGCAGCTGGAAGACGGACGCCTGTATCAGATTCATGACCAGAGCGCCGCCATGCTGCGTGGCCAACTCAATGACCAGCGGCCGGCACTCGCTATGCCGATGATTGCTGCTGCGCCCCCAGGTGAGCAGATTGATAAAGAACTTCATCACCGACGAGTTTGCCTCCCGATGGTCCAGCGAGCAGGCAATCAGCGCGCACTGGAAGATGGGTGTGATGAGGGTGCTCTGGAGCAACTGCAACGGACAGCAGTCCAGGTAACGTGAGGCCAGTCGAAAGAAATCATCGACTGTGTCGGGATTGTTGCGTAATCCGTTCTCCAACTGCAGCAGCGCAAACGTGGGCTCGATGAAGGCCTGCAGCATTTCCAGCAATCCCGTAATGCACTCATTCGACTTGGCAAACTCATCCACCAATATGGAGCCAACATACAGGAAACAACTGTGATGCTGCACCGCGTAGAGCACGACGATCTGCTTGATCAGTGGCTCCACTAGCATCACCGCTTGCTTGCGCACCATGCGAATGCCGTAGCGTATCAGCCGGCAGGTGCGCTCCATGATGCGCGATTCGCTCTGGTACTTCTCCAGCACGCGTGAGATGAGCGGCCAGGCGTCATTTAATATTGCAACTGTCGGATGTTCCACGTTGTCGGGCACATCGGGATTCGTGTGTCTTATAATAGCACAGGCGCGATCGATCCAATAGACGGGATCACTCCGCTCATTCTTTGCCGGATCGCAGTGACCGCTCTCCAGCAACTGGACTAGCGGCTGCAACTGGAATCCCACAATCTCTCGCAACGCTGGCTGCAGCTGCTCACGTGGCAGCTTCGTCAAGATCAGCGATATGCCCTTCAGAAGCCCAATGGCTACATCATTATTGATCTGAAAGCTGTCCAGGCTGTGCGCTATCTGTACCAGGCCGCTGATGTGGCAAATCATTTTCTGCCTGCATGCCGAACAGATGGAGGTGAGTGCTATCGCCGCTGCCGGCGCCAGCCCGTTCTTCTGCTGGAGTGCGTACAGCAGAAAGTTGAGCACAGCCTCGAGCAAGTCCGAATGATTCTCAATCCAATCACACAGTTCTCCAATGAGCATTATCGATGTATAGCGCACCGCAATGTGTGTTTGATCCGTCATGTTTAGTATCGCCTCCACCACCTTGGGTATCACATCGTTCTCCTCGCTAAGAGCATATGGAATTTATGAGTAATCAATACCTGATCCAGTATATTAAGCACTTACGGCAATATATTCTTGGCCACATTTTGCATAACAAAGAGCGCCGCCTCGGTGGACTCCCACGTTGTGGTTGGATCTTGTAGAATAATAAACATTTGCTTAAAACATGCGCCAGAGCCAACAATGAATGCCACGTCCTTCAACAGATCGGAAACCTTGCGACGAAAGTCCTATGAAAAGAGAACCAAATTTTAATTCAGTTTACCTAAATATCTTCGGTCTATACTTTTCCTACATAGAAATTATTGTTCTCTTCGATGAGGCCATCGTGATCGCTCTCCATTTGTGCGTGTCGAAACAGAGCGCTGATCAGCCGCTCAATGTGCGGCCTGAAGCGCGCCGTTAGCTTTTCGTCGTACCGCTGGAACAGATCCTCGCTGAGTTTATACCACAAATAGAAGGTGACTTCGGCCACTTCGTAGTCAAAATGACCGACGCACAGCAGCACCAGATCCAGGCCCTTCATCGCGTACTGCGATTCAAAGATATCCACGGAGAATGCATCGCAGAGCGTTGTAAAGATACGGCAGTAGTTGATCGTCTTGTCGGTGTCCTCGTGGGCGACACTCAAGTGATATGCCGTCTCCAGTTGACAGACTGTCTCAAAGATGCGCGTCACCTGGGGGTCGACCTCCAACTGGCCGCTGCGCGAGCCCATGCAGCTGAGCAGTGCACAGACGCATTCGGTGGCATTGTCGTGCAGTTTGCCCGACGTTTCCGCTGGCTGGTTGAGGAGACGGAAGGCGAGCTGGGAGAGCGCATTGTCGCAGATGTGTGAGAGGGGGAACGCTTGTATGACCAACCAGGCGCTATAAGTGCGCAGCGTGGCAATCCAAATCCGTTGCTGGTCCAGATCCTTGCGCTGCGAGCACATGCACAAAAATTCTAATACACATTCGGCACTGGCGTCCAGCTGCTTGTGCACCTGTTCCCGTCGATTGGCGCCCAAGCGCAAATACCGCGAATCAATCTCCTCGGGTAGCACCTTCAGTATCTCCAGCAATGGCCAAATAGCCGCCGGATGTGGAGCGAGCGCCTTTATCAGATCACTAATCGGCTCCTGCCACGTGGCCATTAGCAGCGCCAAATCGGCCACGGCCAGACTGAGTTGTGTCACGATCACATTGTCCGTCTGCTCGTCGATCTGTGCTATATGCGTGATCAGGGAGTCTCGCAGAGATTCGTGTGTGTGGGGAGGCAACTCACTAAAGGAGTTTTGTATTTTGTTACGTATCGTCTGAGCGGCAAAGTAATTGGCGTGCAAGTCTCGTTTCTGGTGCAGCAGCTCGTCTGCAATGGTCCATGAATAGATCTAGAGCAACAAGTGCAACTAGTTAGTATAGTGTTTCATCTGTATGTACAAAAGCAGATACCCAACTCGGTGTAGGCTAAAACTTACCGACTTTTGAAACTCCTGAAGCCATTTATTGGCTTTTTCCTGCTCCTTGGGATTGGTGCCTTGGAATAATGCACTTATCGCTTGATATACAATATCCACCGTATATGTATCCATTGCGCCGGCTTGCAGGTAGATGTAATCAATGCATTTATTAATATTGCTAAAATTGTTTCTATTGAAAGAATATGTGGCGGCTCGCCGATAATTGACGGCTGTTGGCTGATAACTTTTATGAACAGGGCTGCAAAAAATGCAATGAAAAATGCATAATGTTTATTTATAACTTATAGATGTATATTTCAAATATATTTAGATAGAGTTAAAGTGTACCGTTTATTTATATGGGTATGCGTATATATGTCAATATATATATAGAGTAAATTAATGCACGCATATTTAAAGTACTTTAAAGGTTTTAGAGACTTACAAACTTTCAAATTTGTATATTAAATACAAAGTTATGATTATTTTTATTTTGGTATTTATTATATACTAAAATTATGGGCGAAATCGCTGTGACACTATCACAGACCAGAACTTGTTCATCTTTTTGTCAGATTTGTCATCAATGACAATTAATTAACTTTATATTAAATTCTTTTGAATGCTATACCAATTTGTGAATTTATATAGTAATTTTAAAAATATTTTACTTCAGAATAAATTGCATGCTGACTGGATTTGCAAAATCATTGTGACCAGTCACAGACTAGAGCAACTTGCTCATCTCTAGGACAGATATGTCATCGAAATCCTATACGATTTATCGACATAGCAGGTTGTTAGCTAAATTTGCAATGGATAAGGATTCCGATTCCACGGTCACCTCCTTGGACGAAAATACGGAAAACTTCTGCACAAACCCAACGCGCGATATTCTGGCCGAAGGCATCACAAATCTCTTCAAGCCCACCATCGAAAAGCTCGACGAACGCGTCGCATCGACCATACAACTGCAATCAGAGCTGCGTGGACAGTTGGATGCACTGGCTGCCCAGCTGCGGGACATTGAGAAGGCACAGAACCAAATACCTGAATTCGCCGACAAGGTCAAGGAGTTGCTGAACGTCAAGCACAAAGTGACCATTATCAGCAACGTCCTGAGCAACAGCCAGGAACGTTTGACAGGTCTGCACCGGCTCATCGAGAAAGAGCAGCGGAGACGGCAGGCGCTGCTCGACTCGGCTCTGACCACCAACATATCGTAGACATGGAGACGCCACACACCGAACATCTCTCCTCAGCCGACTATGAACATGTCTATGAGCCGGCGGAGGACTCATTTTTGTTGCTTGATGCCTTGGAAGCAGACTTGGAGTTTCTGGACACACTGCAGCCGCGGCTGTGCCTTGAGATCGGGTCTGGCAGCGGCGTCATCATCACCGCACTGGCCAAGCGCCTGGCCAACACCACCCACTGTTTGGCCACGGACATCAATCCCAAGGCATGCGAGGCCACGAAGCGGACAGCGATCCGGAACGGAGCTCGACTGGATAGTTTGCGCTGTAATCTGACGGACGCACTGCGTCGACGCTGCATAGATTTGCTGCTCTTCAATCCGCCCTATGTGGTAACCAGTGATGAGGAGCTACAAACCCAACAGCTGACAGAAAAACCCGCGACAGAGCGCAACTTGGTCTTTTCCTGGGCAGGCGGCACAGATGGACGGCGTGTGACTGATATTTTATTGGAGCAATTGGATGACATACTCTCGCCCAGCGGCGTGCTCTATTTGCTGCTGCTGCACGAGAATAAACCAGATGAAATAATCGAACAATTGAAGCGGCAAAGGTTCGAGGCTGTCAAATATATGGAACGACGCATTCCAGGGGAACATTTGTATATATTAAAAGTCAAGAGAGTTGCAAATTAATTATATATATTAAATTAATGTAAACCAATTCTATTTGAAGACCCAATCAAAAACTTACTTTGAGCTTAGCTTGCTAGTGGTTTGGGTCTTGACTAAATGAAAAAATTAAATATCGATAGTTCATTTTGTCGTGGAATTCAAAAACAAATGAAAAACAATATTAAAGAAACTTACATAGCTTAGCTTGCTGGTGGTTTGAGGACTAATTTTGAAATAATTAAAAGCAGAGTGATATAAAGCAAATCTAAACTTAGTTAGTCGTGGTTCGAGTATCGGGTAAATTAGTGTATTACATTATCGATAATTACATATACGCTGTTATGTTTCAAACCATGCAAGTGATTCATTGCTGATATACTAATTGAATTGATACGCCAGGCGGTCTTAATTGAAACTGGAAAATACTAGAATGCATTGCAAAGTAATTTTTCAGCTTAATTGGAGAGTGAGTGAAATCGAGTTTTGAACTACCCTCTGCATGCAACCCCCAACCCCTCATGAAGCTGAAACTGAAAATGTAAAACAAACCGATACGATTACGGCACCAATCAATGAATTATGTATCACAAAATGTACATACACGCAAATACACATATGTGCGGAATAGGTGTATATAGACATACTCAAATAACTACCCCTACTCGGGTTAAGCACCCTTGCTTAATACTCTAAGGGCGGGTGTGGGATTTGAGGTAAAATTTATGCTGCTGCTGCTGCCCCGCCCAATGAAAGGAAACAAACGATTTTATTGGCATCTGATAAATGCCAATTTTGTTGTTTTTTTTTTTTACGTAATTTTTTTCCTTACGTAATTACAATATTTATTTTCTTTCGATTTTTCGTGGGTTTTATTTACTTTTCTTTCACTACGACTGGATTGAAATTTTTGTTTCCTTACTTTCTTTATTTACAAAGTTTGCATTTAACATTGTTTCTGGTATCAAATTGTTCATATAGAGTATATATATAATATATATGTTATTCATCTGTAAGCCTTTAAATGCTCATTAATATTGCTATATTATGGTTGGTTGGTTAAATTGGTTGGAAAATTGTTGCAACTCATTGATTGTTTATTGGTTTTTGCGTATTTTTTCTTTTGCTCGGTCACCAAGTATCAGTCATTATAATTAAAGTGAGTCAATATGTCAAGTAAGCCCCAAAACTACTTAATAATTATATATATATATATGTATATACGTGTGTGTGTTAGTGTATATAACATTAAAAGTTTTTTCATTATTTCTTTTGTTTTTGTATTTTTACAATTTACAAATGAATTAACTTTTTAGTATTAATTGATTCGCTTTTGCCTCGTTTTTTTTTTTTTTTTAATACTGACATTAAATACTTAAATTGTTTATAACTTAGAGAGTAATGTAAATGTTTGTTTGTGAGTGTGTGTAAATGCTGAAATAAAAGAGAGAGAGAGAGCCCAGTAAATGTAGAATCATACTTCCCGTTGAACAATGCGCACAGTGGGCGCCAAACTTGTGAAACCAATACAAATTTTTTTTCAGACAGAAAATTTCGAGTGTTTTCTTTTGTTCTTTTTTTTATATTTTTCCATTTTAATTGCATTTGCTTTTTCGATCATTCATAAAATGTAACTTCTAATTTTATTAATCAATTTTGTTTTTCTCATTTTGCTTTTGTTATTATTTTTAAGTAAATCATGGGTTCATCGAATTCGTCGTCTCTTCTGCTTTTTCTTCTTCATCATCGTGACCGGTTTGTCATTATTTATGTTTTTTTTATAACTTAAGACTTATGACTTAAAGGAAAGAAAGCTTGGTTTTTGTGTAGAATTTGTTTTTTCTGAGGGGGGATGTTTTCTTTTTACGGATTTTGTTTGCTTTCTCGCACATTGCGAGAATTGTATTTTTTTTTTTATATATATAAAAAAGTACACATAAAATACAATTAAAATAAAATAAGAAATAGAAAATTATTTCTTAAACATTAGAATAATATACTTTTGCGATTTTTTTGTTGCGTTTTTCTCTGATTTTTGTTTTTTGCTTGTAACTTTTTATTTATTATTAATTTAAATTTTTTGTTTGTATTTTTTTCTTGTTTTTTATTTTATTTTTATTTTGTTTTGACTACATTATTATTACGCTTGATCGTCCGAACCGGAACCGTCATCATTGTCATCATCATCATCTGATTGAAAGAAAAAGAGAGATTCGTCTTAGCTTTGGATTGGATTATCGGGAAAAGTGTCAATAACTTACCGTCGCATTCAATGTCGTCCTCCTCACCATCGTAGGGTACATCGTATTCGTCGCTCTCGATTTCACTGTCACCCTCGATGAGATCATCTAATACCTCCTCCTCATCGGAATCGCCATCAGCGGGTTTATCTTTCTTGGCTTTCTTTGATTCGGCGGATTTAGCCTGAAAAGGAAGGAAGGAATCAAATGTCAAGTGAGTAAGGTTTATCGATAACAAAACAAAGGACTGCTATTGCTCTTCCATCGGCGGCTGCTGCTTCAGCTGAAACCTTTGGGGCACCCATTTTATACCCCACACTTCTCCTTGATCAAGGACAAACGTATTGTTGATGGACACAAAATATGAAGCCAACATACGCATGTTCTCCCAACAAGCGTGATTCATCTGTATGGGTGTGTGTGTGCGTGTACACGGTCGTAAAAAGTATATTTTAAGCCCACAAAACAAGAAAATCGCCCTTTACTGGGTAGCAGTAGCAACAGCAGCAAAGAAAAATCGTTATTTTCGCCGTAAAAAAGGCATTTGAAAAATGCGCGCGTCAATGGAATTCGCTGCAGCAGCACGCACCGACGAGGGGAGAGAGCGAGAGAGAGTAAGAGAGCATAAGCGGACGATTGCCGCATTACAAGTGCAGCTCACCGCTTACATAAAAACAAGCCTACAGACATGTACGTGTATTTGTATATAAAGCGGCATATTTACTACATAATGGAAAAACAACAATCGAGAGGGCATATGTATCCGCAGCCGTGAGATACAAAACCAGCCAAGCCAAGCGTGCGTTCGACCCACTGTGACCGAAAGCCGAGCAGACAAGCTGAACCCGAAGCGAATCAAACCGAAAGACGAGCAGCGTCGCTAACGTCGCAGCAGCTGCTACACGCTAGCGTTAGCATATATGTGTATGTATATATTATGCATATATATGTGTGTGTACAAAAGAGAGCGTCCTCACAGCGCTGTCGCTGTCATGGCAGAACTGTACCTGAGAACGCGCGGCGTTCAATGGCTGTATGAATGAACGGCTCACGCACACACAGATACGACAGCTGCCGTAGAAAAAGGCGCAAACGGTTGACCGACGACGACGCCAGCGTCGCTGCTGTGATGTGCGTTCATATGCGGCTGATGCGTGGGTTCAAAACTCAGTTAACCAGCCAACAAGGCAAATACATAAGGCAGTCACGTTCCCATGTAAATGAAAGAAAGCCTGTAATACATAACCATGCTATTGTTTGTATGTGTGCGAAGGCATAATTTAACACAGCGATTGTTACAAAGCAGACAACAAGATAACTGGGAAAATGTGTGCAAAATATGCGGCGCGTTCTCTCAAGCACAACAAAAACCACGATGAAGTCTTAAGTAAAATACTTATGCTACAAACCAGGCATTACAGCAAACAACCTATAAAACAGGGTCATCCATGATAGAGGTTGTTAAGCAATATGTATATGGTCATTAAAAAGAAAATTCTAGAAGAAAACTGACATTAAGACAAACTAAAAGCAAGTTAGCAAACGGTCGGGTGCTTAGCTTTTTTTTATCGTATCTGTTGATAGATAATTGCAAATCGTTAATATATCTATGAATTATTTACATATGTATGTATTGAAGGCTTATACATGTATATAAAAACTAAATGCTATTTATATGATTATTTATTGACATTATTATATTTATTAAAATCCTGCTCAACAGTAGGCAATAGATTCAAGAATTTCATACATTAGTGTTACATCGGCAGCTTATTTCAATTAAGGAAGTTGCACCACCCTGTGAATGGATTGTTTTTATGAGCGCCCGCCATCCATCGATATACATACACCAGTGCATACATAAATGTACCAAAATAAATACAAGTAAGGCGAAAAAAAGTGAAAGATAAATGTAAATGGGCATATATACACAAACAACACATGTCTGTATACAGAATGTGTACATAAGTATTCACACGAACGAAGAGCGGCATTGGTGAGAGGGAGAGTAATGTGTTGAAGAGAGCATGAGAGAGGAAGATAGGGAGAGTAAAACGACGGCGTTCTCAATGAGAGTACGCGCGCTAGTTAAACTGTACATTTTTATTTTGAGTTTGTGACAAATCAAATGATTTGCTAATTTATGCTATTTATTCTACAGATAAATCGTGCCTCTCTACTTTTGAATATTTTTATGTTTATCAAAATATGTGAATTTCCGATTATGACATAAAAACAAGTGAAAAAAAACAGATTGGAATGTTGCGGCAGCCTAAAAAACTGGTTCGCTCTTCCTCTCTATACACATCTCACTTATCGCTCTCTCTTTCTCCCTCCATGTCCATCATCCGCTCTTGTAACATGGCGGACCGCCGCTGCCTACGCCGGCCGGCATTGTTTTTAGCTGAGAGTGCAACATTGTGGCTGGCGCGCAATTTGTTGTTTTACTTGTCTTTTGTATTTGTAGCTGCCTAATTTGGTAAATACATTCAAATACGACCGTCAAATTCTAGTATCAAGAGAGTCGTCAGCAAAGCTATAACAAAAATGCATTTTCCTATTTAAAGAGTATTTAGTATGCACACACTTATAAACCTTGACTATGTGGGTGTGTGTGTGAGTTGCAAGGCCGCATTGCTAGCAACGCTTTTAAAGTTTATCTCTTGGCTTTTTGCGTCTTGCTGTTTCCTTGTGTAATGCTAATGACCTATGTATGTATGCCGTATTCCAGTATTCACTTGCTTTGTTTTTTGTTTCTTTTTCGTTTGTACTAAAATTGACGCTCTCTCTCACTCTCTCTATCTTTTATTAT